CCTCCCAGGTTCAAGCGATTTTCCTGCCTCAGTTTCCTGAGTAGCTAGGATACTGGTGTCAACCACCACGCCCAGCTGACTTTTGTATTTTTAGTAGAGACAGGTTTTCACCATGCTGGCCAGGCTGGTCTCAAACTCCTGACCTCAGACGATTCACCCACCTTGGCCTCCCAGAATGCTGGGATTACAGGCGTGAGCCATCGCATCCAGCCTCTCTTTTTTCATTATTGTTATTTTTATTTTTTCAGACCCCAGTTCTTTTTTTTAAAAGGCAGAAATTGAAGTAAAGACATACAAATGAATTCTTGTATATACAGGTGAGAATCACAAAGTGATTACCCAATATCCCAATGGGACCCAAATACTTATATAGTTTTTTTTGTTTTTGTTTTTGTTTTGAGACAGCATCTCACTACGTCACCCAGGCAAGAGTGCAGTGGTGTGATCTCAGCCCACTGCAACCTCTACCACACGGGTTCAAGCAATTCTCTCTGCCTCAGCCTCCCAAGTAGCTGGGATTATAGAGGCCCACCATTACACTGGCTAATTGTTTTACTTTTAGTAGAGATGGCGTTTTGCCATATTGGCCAGGCTGGTCTCGAACTCCTGACCTCAGATGATCTGTCCCACTGAACCTCCCAAAGTGCTGGGATTACAGGCATGAGCCACCATGCCCAGCTGTATATTAGCCTTATTTTAGAAGAGAATGAGGAGCTGGAAAACTGTGGGCTATTTTAGGGGGCTAGTAAATGATTCTTAGGCACATTCAATGGGCAGGAAAAACATACAATGGCCTGGGACAAAGTCTGTTGGGTCCACAGGGCAGACAATGGTTTGTGACAAAAGTCTGTCTGGGTTTGTTGACAGACTTTAGTCTTTCTTTTTGTGATAAAATTTCAGTTAATGAAAAATCAGGGATGGACCAGAGGTCATTGTTTTCTTCTTTTGCAGATCTGAACTTTAGGCAGATGAAGAACTTTAGAGAACAACTTCATCCTGCCTTTGGGAGTAACAGAGGATTGAGAGACTGTGGTAGGGAAAGGAAGCTGTGAGAGTGGGAACAATTGTTCAGATCTTCACATAGATGGGGGAAAAGTCTCTTCTAGTATCTGTTGATCTCTAAAGGACTTTATTTATTTATTCACTTTGAGAGCAAGTCTTGCTCTTGTCCCCTGGGCTGGAGTGCAATGGTGTGATCTAGGCTTACTGCAACCTCCACCTCCCAGATTCAAGTGATTCTCCTGCTCAGCCTCCCGAGTAGCTGGGATTACCAGCACTTGCCACCACGCCCAGCTGATTTTTGAATTTTTAGTAGAGATGGGGTTTCACCATGTTGGCCAGCCTGGTCTCAAACTCCTGACTTCAGGACATCTGCCCACCTCGGCCTCCCAAAGTGCTGGGATTACTAGCGTGAGCCACCGCGCCCAGCCTCCAAAGGACTTTAATTCAAAATATTCATTATACCAGGGAGCCACATTTGGGGGTGAAGTTTCCTGTGCACACAAAAATATTAAATAACCAGGCCTGGTGGCGCACATCTGTAATCCCAGCACTTTGGAAGGCCAAGGCAGGAAGATCACTTGAGCCCAGGAGTTCAAGATCAATCTGAGCAATGCAGTGAGCCTCCGTCTCTACAAAAAACTTAAAAAGCCAGCTGGGCATGGTGGCATATGCCTGTAGTACCAGCTGCTTGGGAGGCTGAGGTGGGAAGATCACTAGAGCCAGGAGGTTGAGCCAGGAGCTGTGATTATGCCACTGCACTTCAGCCTGGGTGACAGACAGTCTCAATAGATTAAAAAATATTTCATTAATTTTTAAAGACATCAGCTGGGCATGGTGGCTCACGCCTATAATCCCATTACTTTGGGAGGCCAAGGTGGACAGATCACCTGAGGTCAGGAGTTTGAGACCAGCCTGGCCA